AAAAATCCTTCACTCTACAACTAGGCATAAATTTCACTGTGATTGATAAGAGCTGATTCTAATGCCACACAAAATTTGCTTATAAATGGTTATTCAGGATGGTTGCTTTTCAATGCTGCTCTCCTAATTTCCTGCTAAATGTTTCATCGATAGTCGTCCAACATTAATATTTATTTTGTTCATTTAATTTTAAAGTATTCTTAAATTAAAGCTATTACAAATATTGGACTGCTGTCAAAGAAAATTCAGCATAGGCACTACCACAAAAATATGGAAAATATGATTAATGTAGTATAGCTGTAGTCTGGCTTCAGAAACATAATGCCAAAAACTATTTTAGTAAATTAAGAAATAACCATTCTAGATTGTGTTGTAAAATCCATTTCTAAATACCCTCCTTTTTAAACCTCTATGCTTCTTTATCTTGGAATTCTTACCAATGTAGTTAGATTTCACATTGCAATGGTAATTATACTTAGAATCATATGTTAAAATATTCCCCACGTACATACTATTTTTATCGTCTTTTCCCTAAAATCCTCAGCATTAACCTATATATATTGGCTTTCAAAAATCTCATTAAAAATTACAGTAAAACCATGATTTGTACTGTATTTACTGTAATATACAACCACACTGTCTGTTGTTCCCATTTGGGTTTTATAATTTCTTCTCATAGTATAACATTCTGCAGAATGTTTCAGTGCCAAATGGGTTAGGACACAACAACATCATAACCACTACTGGAAAATTTAATGGTTTTCTCCTTGGAAAATACCAAATTTCAAAATCCTACATACTAGTTCATTTTCATTTCCTCTTTACCACAATTCATTTTCATAACTAAAAGAAGCTCTTGGCTGAAGCCTTATACTGTCTGTAGCATGTTAGTTTCTTTGCAAATTTACTTTTAGGAAATATGATAAAGAAAAACAACATATTCCACAGGCATCCCAAGTAAAGCGTTATAAATTCATATTCTCTCGTGCATTCATTTAAATGGGAAGCAAGGAAGAAGAGGGAAAGCCCTTACAGTTCTCAGATGAAACTTCGCTGCCTTCATCCACCTCCACATACTGTGTCAGAGTCAGAAAAACACTCCAGATACTTCTGTCACTTTGCTAACCAAAGAAGCTGCTACCATTGCCAGCAATATGTTCATGCTACTTCCCGAGGTCTGTGTTCTAATCATCAGAACTTTTATAAATTACATACTTTTTTAAAAAAAATCCTTCTTCTGAACCAACCTCAGGACCAAAACATTAGTCTCTGCTTCAAGTTTCCCCATCTTAACACAAGAGGAATGAAAAGCAAATGCCTTCAAGTCCTGAAGGGGTTGCTTCTTCCTTTCTGTGTTCAAAGTGGAAGAAATTAGTGTGTGCTTTTTCTTCCAGTGCCATTTGGTTTCTGCCTTTAGAATGCAAAGATTTGTTTCATTCCTGGGCACCTGACAGGCTGAGATTTACATGTGAGAAAACATCCCCCAGATTATTACCAAGGAGGCAAAAATTCCCCCCACTCAGTTTAGCTGCCTTTCAGTAAAGAGACTGGAAAAAGGGAAATGAGAGATGGGAAGGAGATTCTATCCGAATCTGAGGACAAGTTATACAGATGAATCCAAAGTAATGGAGGCAAATATAAAAAAGAATATTATTTATTATCTTCTTTATTAATACTCACATGTAACCTCTGCTTTTTACACAAAAGTCTACTTTAGAAGAACGCCTCCTCGGCTTATCATGCCCAATGGGGCTTTTTGTTCCTGGACCACTTCCCCTTTCTCCACCCCCACCCCCACATCCACATCCAAATTACTCTTACATGTTCACAGATACCACGAAAATTTTGTAAACAAGATTTGGGTTACTGGAACTTGATTTCATGAGCATCCCACTTCAAAATGGAAGGCAGGTAGGGGACAGGGTAAGAAACAGGAGAAACGGGATGGGAGAAAGCAAAGGAAAGAAGAGGGACATCTGGTCAGAACGTTCAAGTCCTGCCTTTTCTGAGGGGGGTATGTGTGTGTGTGTTTTGTGGCTGTTCCTTGAAATGCACTGACTCAAAACATTGACAGCAAGTGTCTGTGTGGTTATTTATGTATCTATAATAGAATATGCGGGTTTTCTCCATTTGAGTCTGGACTGTGTTTGTTTAAACACACTACAATCCTCTTTACAGGTATTACCACAGGGCATCAGGTCTCCCAGGAACACTTTTCAGAGACGGGGCTTCCGAAGCAGGGTCTTGCTCAGGTCTTTGACCTCCTCAGGGCTGTTAACTCGCTCATAGCCCAGGACGGCCATGGGCTGGTAGCAAAACTCCTCCACCTGTTTGATCTGCTGGAAGGTGAGGGCGGTCCGCCAGGCATTGGCGGCCTGTGTGGCATTGCGTGCAGATACCACGAAAGGCTTGGAGGAGGAGCCCGAGCCACTGGTCATGTTGAGGGCAAACTGCTCCATTTCGGGGCTCACCAACAGTCCCACAAAATCGTACACTCTCCGTAGTGTCTTGACGGGGTCTCCCACCAGGTCCTCGTACCGCACCACCAAGTAGTGGCCCTGCAGCCAGTCGGGGGGCTGCAGGGCCGTCTGCAGCGTCTTAGCCATGCTATTGCAGATGACCTCCATAGCGCCCAGAGCGTGGTAGTCAGCCGGGCCGCCCACACCCTCCTTCTTGGCGCCAAGCTTGTGGCCTGCGGCCTCCAGGAAAGGCATGCGGTGAGCTCGTGGGTCTCGGCTGCGCACCACCTGTAGGCTCTCACGGATGAGGCCATGACGCGAGCGGATGCGTGAGCTCGCCACCGCACGAGGATCACGCACCAGGTGGATGACCTTGAGGTCCAGGGCCGGGTCTCGTAGCAGTGGCGCCAACACCGCCACATCGAAGACGCGCACACCCTTGATAACTAGTGTGTGGTACTTGCGGCACTCCTCCTCGAAACGCGCCAAGCGCTGCGGCGGGCACTTCTTGCACACGCGGTCGTCCACCAACCCCACGACCTCCTTGCGGTAGGCGGGGCAGAGTGGCGACGAGCACACCACCTTGTTGGTGGCTGCGCCAAAGATGCCCAGCGTGGTGAGGTTGCGCCCCCCGCTACCCGCGGGGCTATACAGCTGGAAGACAGAGAGGTCGCAGCGGTACAGAGCGCTCAGCATGTCCCGCGCTGCCCCCTGCAGGGAAACAGCATCTCCTGGATATAGTTTTTGCCATACATGCCACACTGGCTCGTAGAGAAAGAACACCTCGGGATTCTGGTTGAATAGTTCGCCAAAGAATGATGAACCCGAGCGCCACGTGGTGAACACGTACACCAGCTGCCGCTTGTCCCCGACGCCCCCGGTGCCCCGAGTGCCATTGCCCGGAGGACCTGCAACCCCCGCCATCCCTCCCGCGGCTGCAGGAGCCGCCCCGAAGGCGGCAGCAGGAGGGCGGTAAGGAGTGCGGAGGTCCAAATGGGTATGAGCGCGGGGCGGGACAGCCGGAGGCGGTCCCGGGCGCCCCCAGCTGCCTCCAGCTGCCCCCGCTGCGGCACCCAGCGGCCCGTCGGGGTTGCACTGCTGCAGCGGCTCCTTGTGCCACTTGTAGTCCAGGAGGTTGAGCATGGTGAGCACCAGCAGCAGTGCATAGCCCGCACACAGCACCAGCGCCTTCCTGCGGAACACCTTCATTCCGAGAGGGGACGCGGGCCAGCGGCGTCCTGGGCGCCGGGGCCACTGCGGGAGCAGGGCACGCGGCGCAGCTGCAGGCGCAGCCTGGAGCAGCCGGGGGAGCGCGCCTGGGGGCAGAGCTCGCGGCGGGCTGCGGCTCATCACAGGCACAATCCCGGCCGGCAGCGCGGCGGAGGCAGGCCTGCAGCCGGGGAAGGGGACGCAGCGGGCTGGCTGCGGGCGCCGGGACTCGGGCCGCGACTCCGAGGCGGGCGCGGCGGCTGGTTCCCAGCGCCCGAGGCTGACTCTCCCATGGCAGCGGCTCCGGGAAGGACCTGCCAGGGGAAGCAGAGTGAGAGAGTGCGCCCCAATCTCCCTCCCAGCCTCCTCCTAAGTAACGCCCACCCTTGGTTCAGCCCGGCTCCTCCGCTCACCTGGAGCCAGGGGCGCGCCCGAGAGCGGCACTGGATCACCGCCCAGCGGACTGTCAGGCTGTCACTCGTTCCTCGATTTCGCCCTTTCTCGCTTCCTCTGGGGGTCCCCGCGCCTTTGAGGGGCCGTGGGACTCAGCCGACTTATCCCTGGGCAGAGTTTCTGGCCAGTGGGTGCCCTGCAGCTCGGGAAGAAAAACTTTCCCCCGGCCCGGAGCCCCACACCGCGTTCCACTGAACCCGGCGCGACCCGGCTCCAGCGACGTCTCCTCGGCTCTCTCGGGACCGCAGCTTCCTGCCTCGCTCAGGAGAACGAAGCTGGCTGGGGGCGGCTTATCGGGGACCCAGCTCCCGGCATAGCGGCGCAACCCTTCTCGCTTTTGGCCTCCGCGCGGCGAATTTTCCCATCTCTCTGGCGGCGGTGGACCCGGCACAGCGCAACCCCGCAGCGGCGGCGGCAGCGGCTGCTTCCATCAGCCGGAGGATGCCCGGGCAGGCAGCACAGGCAACCCCCGCCGCTCCGCAGCCTCCGACTGGCCCAAAGGACCCTAAACACGCAGCTCTAAGTAAGGGAACCCAGGTCTGCAGGCTGCCCGCCCCGCCCCGCCCCCCGGTAGCAGCAGCTCCTGGCCAACGAGGTATGTAAGCAGAGAAAGACCCCGCTGCCGCCGCGGCGCGAAAGCGGCGCCCAGGAGGATGCTGCTACCCGACTCCCCCTACGCCCGGCGCCCGCAACGCGCTCGGGCCAGCCTCTGTTCGGCTCCTGCCAGCCGGCGCCCGGTTGGTGCTCGCCGCCGTCTATCGCCGCGGCTCCTCCCCTCCGCCGCGCAGCCCTCCCACTTCGCCGGCCCCGCCCCCGCCCCCAACGCCGCGCCGGCTCCCACCGCCGCCCCTCGAGGGCTGGAGATGCGACCCGCTTCACCGCGACGCGCTGGGGTCGCGGCCCACGGGTCGGAGGGCGTGGCTCTCTGCGCGCAAAGCGCTGGGATGCGAACGCGGGATTCGCAGCGCGTCGGTTCCAAGAGCTGCCACAGACTCGGATTCTGCGTGCAGCTGCCGCACTCGGCCTCATGTTTTTGCTCTCAGAAAGAGTTGGTGATAAAGTTTGGGCAGAAATCCCCCGTCGGCCGTCTGCTCCACGCTTCCCTCGGGGCCAAAGCTGCCAGCCTCTCCAAGCACTGAGGACACCTCCGCACCCCGGAGCGGTGGGAAGAAACAGAGCGCTGTTCCCTGGCTTCCGACACCCCTCCCGCCCTCTCTAGCGGGTCTGTAGCTGCTTTCTCTCGGAGGAAGTAATAAATCTTTCTGACCTTGGGGGTCAGAGGAGACGCTTCAGTTTTCCGGAAGGGTGTGCCAGCGGGGCGTCTTCCCGCTTTACTGGACATCTGGCTGGGGCTGCTCTCGTTTCACTGCGCCCCCCGCAGATGCTCCGCATTTCCGCTCCCAGTGCTGCGTCCACTGTGATTGACGTCCTCTGGAATTGGGGTGATGGGGGAGGGTAACGCCCTGTTCTAATTTGCAGTAAAGTACTTGTCCCGCTTCTAGGTTTTGTAGATGAGATCAAAGAACTTGACCCCAAAGGAAACACCGTTGTTGAAAGAAAATCATTTTTCAGTTGCTTTGGGTTTAGGTATTTTTGTTTAAGGTTATGAGCTTCTCTCTCTCCCCCCCCCCACCCCTCATATCCCTCCCCAAGAACACTAAGCTGTAACCTCAACTTCATCTGTAGAATGCGGACAGTTATAACAGCCTCCGGAAATTGAACGGTGGTTGAGTATCAGAGCGCGCACACGGAAGATTAGACCTGAGTTCAGGCCTCCCAAGTGCCGGAAAGGGAATCGCTGCGGGTCCTGAGGCTCAGCGCCCGCTGATAAACAGCGCTCGCTGATCTGGAGGAGTTCTGTTGCCTCCTGTCCCGATAGAGTTTTTAGAAATTTATCAAAGTTAATGCACAATTATCTTTGTACCATTTTGGGCAGACTTTTCTGCCAGAGGACTGTTCTGAAATTAAAATATTGCTGTTTGCGCCATTATTCTTCCCTGAGTCTTACAGAATCCCTTGAGTACAAAGACTTGAAAAGTGACTTCGCTGGTTTTCCATGTGTTTTTAACTCTCATTTTACGGATTTAGTTTCAGGGGAGAAAAATGTTCAAAGAACGTGATTTATCCCTGTTTTCCAGAAAAAAATTCATAATGTCACAAATAAGTTCAGCTAAGTTTTTCTCCCGGGAAGGGGGGATTGGGACAGGGACAGTAAAGCTCAAATTTTATATTCAGCTTTCTCAAATAGGTTATGAGGAATAGGTTATGAGAAAAAGCTTCTCTCTCCACCTCTCTTCACTCCCTCTCTCCCTCCCCAAGAACGCTAAGCCGTAGCTTCGTCTTCATCTGTATGATGGTGACAGCTGTAACAGCCTCCAGAGACTGAGTAGTTGAGTATCAAGAGGGCGCACACAGCACTGCCTTTGGGAGCGGGTTAAGACACAGGCAACAATCCCTGTTAACAGATGAAGGTGGGCCAGGCTTGGTGGCTTACGTCTGTAATCCCAGCATTTTGGGAGGCCGAGGCAGGCAGATAACCTGAGGTCAGGAGTTCGAAACCAGCCTGACCAATATGAGGAAACCTAGTCTCTACTAAAAATACAAAAATTAGCCAGGCGTGGTGGCAGGTGCCTGTAATCCCAGCTACTGGGGAGGCTGAGACAGGAGAATGGCTTGAACCCAGGAGGCAGAGGTTGCAGTGAGCCGAGATCTGCCATTGCACTCCAACCTGGGCAACAAGAGCAAAACTGCCTCAACAACAACAACAACAAAAAGATGGAAGTGGCAGAGTTTAACTGAACGACCCCCATCTTTCCTTTTCTGGATCCCCAGCCTCTCTTCGCCTACTCTCTCAAATGCCCCTGCCACTTCTTCCGTCACCTCTTTTCCCATGAAAACTAAAGTTACACTGGTGCATGAAAAGACTGATGAGAGGGAGAGGGGTTTGGGGAGGAAAGTAAATCTCAATAATCGACATGATTCCAAGAAAAATAATTTCTAATATTTTTCATTAGTTTCTGGCTTTGTGCTTACCCAGAAAAAAACTGAATTGCATTAGTAGGGACCCTTTTAAAAACAATTGTTTGCATAGAAACAGTTTTGTCACAATTTTGTAACACTTTACTGGTGTTGGTAAAGTAGTAAATCCAATTGCCAGACGCCCCGCCAGTGAGTGCTCAGCTGGCATAAATTTACAGGTTCTGGCATCTCCACCCTCTTCTTGTTTGCAAGTATTTGCCCATTTTGCATGGTGTAGCGATTAATTCTGAACTAGGTTATAGCTAATGACATCTGAAAACTTGATCATGCCTTCCTTCCCAAATTTGTTTGGAAATTCCTTTCATTTTAATCTACTTATTTTAGCATAGTAATGATCTGTCTGGATCATTACTGTGCTAAAATATGTCACATAATAATGTCACTTGCACAAAAGCCAGTCATGCCATAGGGCTAGCCTTAATTTCAGCTCACTGTTTAGTTTGTCACAACTCCATCTCCCACAGGATGCTCCCTCAGTCTCTGTCTTCTCTGCTGCCTGTTATGTGCTATTGGAAACTTGCTGTGGCTTTTGTGTAATCCTGGACAAATAAGAGGGCCTAACCTTATGGAGTGCTGTAGGCCCAGTACCCAGACTGTGGAAAATGACAAGAGATCTTCAAGGACCTTCTTCCAGAGTCTGAACTGGGGAAAGATGCAAGGCTGAATTTCCTGAGCAGTTCCCATTTGGGTCTATCCATGTGAGTCCTGGAAGATGCACGTTTGGAAAACGTTTGCCGCTAGACACCAGGATAGATTCATTCCCTCGTATTTTGAACAAATATTCATTTTCAATAGAACTTGAGGTTATAGATTCAGGTTTCTCATAATCCTTAATTTCAGGTATGCTGCCATCATTAGTCCGAGGGTGACCCTTTTAAATGTCCTATGTTTTAATATAATGAATATGTATGAACCCATTACACAGCCCAAAAACCTCCAACAGTAACCACTGTACTTAATTTAGTTTAGAAACTTAGATGAAATGATAAAGTTCTAAGAGGAAGAAAACAAAAGCTTGCTTTACCAATTTCAAAAAGAAATAAGACTACTTATGGCCAGGCATGGTGGCTCATGCCTGTAATCCCAGCACTTTGGGAGGCCAAGGTGGGCATATCACTTGAGCCCAGGAGTTTGAGACCAACCTGGGCAACACAACAAAACCCTATCTCTACAAAAACATTAGTCTCATGTGGCAGTGCATGCGTGTAGTCCCAGCAACTCAGGAGACTGAGGTGGGAGAATCACCTGAGCCCAGGAGGCCAAGGCTGAAGTAAGCCATGATGGTGCCACTGCACTCCAACCTGGACAACAGAGTGAGACCCGGTCACAAAAAAAAGAGGCCGAGCTCATGCCTGTAATCCTGGCACTTTGGGAGGTCGAGGCGGGCAGGTGCCCTGAGGTCAGGAGTTCAAGACAAGCCTGAAACCCTGTCTCTACTAAAAAATACAAAAATTAGCCTGGCATGGTGGTGCACACCTGTATTCCCAGCCACTCGGAAGCCTGAGGCAGGAGAACTGCTTGAACCCAGAAGGCAGAGGTTAGAGTGAGCTAAGATTGCACCACTATACTCCAGCCTGGGTAACAGAATGAGACTCTTTCAAAAAAAAAAGAGAAAGAGAAAAGAAAAAGAAAAGTACTTATAAATTATAATAACAACACTATTACCTGAATATTTTTGTGATAATAAACTGATGTCATTTAAAATCTTCCCATGAGAAAAACAAGCCCAGAGGGATTTAAAGGAGAGTCCACCAAACTTTCAAGAACTAGATTGTTTCAGTCTCATCTCTATCAGAGAAGAGAGCAAGAGGGAATATTTCCCTCATTTAAAGGGGATAATAACTACAGAGTGATTTCAGAGAAATTTGTTCCTGTTATCTGATTAATATATACATAAAATTTTTTTTTTGAGGTGCAGCCTCCCGAGTAGCTGGAACTACAGACACACACCACCATGCCCAGCTAATTTTTGTATTTTTTTAGTAGAGATGGGTTTTTGCCATGTTGGCCAGGCTGGTCTCAAAATCCTGACCTCAGGTGATACATTCGCCTTGGCCTCCCAAAGTTCTGGGATTACAGGCATCAGCCACTGCACCTGGCCAATACATACATAAAACTCTTAAATAAAATATCAGCAAAACCAATGACAATAAATGAGAACCAATTTGGGTTTATCCCAGGAATATAAGGATGACAATAAATACTTAGTAAGCACCTACAATGTGCCAGGTGCTCGTCTAGCTATGTGGGATGCAGGAGTGAAAGAGACAGGCCTGGACCCTACCCTCATGCAGTTTACCTAGAGTGGGAGATATTCTATAGAAATTAGACTATGTTCTTAAATATATCTCTACAATAAAAACAACTGTAGAGTCAGCTAGGGATGTGCTAGTTCCTGTAAACCAAATCAATGCAATCAAATGGCATAACATCAATGCTCAGTTCACTAAAGGCAATTTAGTGTGGACTACACGCACCACTCTGAAGGTCTGGCCTGCTGACTCATCTGGGCCTGCTTTGCAAAGCTATTTTCATGCCAAAGTAAGTAGAGATGACTAGCTTCTAGGAAGAAGCTTCTTGGAGAAACTCCTGCAGAGAAACAAGAGACTTAGCTTCTGTTACCTCTTTCCACAGCTTCATGCCAAACCTTCCCAACAGCAGTAGAAGCTGCATTTTGTGCTATCCTCAACTAGAAAGTGGTCTTAAAGCATTTTGAAAATTATTTCAATTTTTCCCTGGGCTCTCCCCTCTGTTTCCCGTGGTTCATGAGTTGTAACCCACCAGATAGGATTGAAACTGGCCCTGTCCAGAGTGCTTGCTCTGACCACTGACCCTCATCTATGTCTGGAGCTCCAGCTTGTGGGAATTCCTCCCTGGAGCAAGCTGTTCTCTCCATGGGGGCCTGCCCCTGACGACTGGGTGCTTAGAGGCCAGACCTCCTTGTACCCACTCACAGAGATGGCCATCCCCCTGCACTGTGAACATTCCGGGCTGCTCTCCAACCTGGTCCTAATGGCTCAGGAGAGATGAGCCTCATTGTATTCTAAAATACAACATTTGAAAGCCTCAAGAAGCTTCAACACTGAGCTTTTAGTAGATGATCAGAAATGCTTTAAAAATAAGTAACCAGCCCCAGTGCGGTGGCTCACATCTGTAATCCCAGCATTTTGGGAGGCGGAAGCGGGCAGATCACCTGAGGTCAGGACTTCAAGATCAGCCTGGCCAACATGGTGAAACCCCTTCTCTACTAAAAATACAAAAATTAGCCAGGTATGGTGGCAGGCACCTGTAGTTCCAGCTACCCAGGAGGCTGAGGCAGAATTGCTTGAACCCGGGAGGTGGGTGTGGTGGTGGGCATCTGTACTTGCTACTACGAGGGAGGCTGAGGCAGGAGAACTGCTTGAACCCAGGAGGTGGAGGTTGCAGTGAGCCAAGATCATACCATGCGCTCCAGCTTGGGCAACAGAGTGATCATAGGTAAAAAAAAAAAAAAAAAAAAAACTGGCTTCTTTGTTCATGAATCTCAGATAAGACCTTTTAAAGCTGAGCCCAGCCATAGGTTTGTATCCTCAAATACCTATGAGTT